TACTGCTGCCCTTTTTCAAGAGCACACACAAAGTTGCAACATGCTTTTCCTATTTTCTGTCCATGCTGCTCCTTTATTTACCCTTTTGTCTGTTTGTATTTTCTTATCCTCAAGGAAAGAGAATTAGACATTAACAAAGACAGCAAAAAAAAAAAAGCTCCTGCTCTTCTCAATTAAATGTATCTTCAAACCCAAAAAACTATTATTCTTAACATAATTTAGAAAACTGTCTGCTGTTGAAGGAAAAGGTAAAATAAAAAAGATGCTTTTGGTTTTATTTCCCACTCACCCTTCAAGTAGCAGCGACATGGTTCCATGGCAGGCTGAGAATATAAACAACACAAAGTTGTTTGAAGAGAAACAGCATCATCCCACTGCTGTATCTGAGGAGCAAACAGAAGAAATTCTTCCGACTTGAAGCTTAAATCTACTACTAACATTAGCAACAGGTGCTCTGAATTAAACTCACCTGTCTTAATTAGGTGCATGATTCTAGGCTGTCTAGCACCTGTGCCTGAAACAAGTTTTTAAATACTTTTAGTACTTTTTTATTATTATTTTTTCCTCTGTACTTTTTTAAAGAGATGGAAAGATGTTTAATGATGGTTAGTTACCACGGAACTAAGCAGATAAAGATTTCTGAGCTAGAGTCCTTCCATCCTGTTTTAATGTCCCATGTATTATTACCTTTTTGGCTTTGACTGTTGAGGCTCATTTGGCCCATGAAAATTAACATACAGACTTCTACAGAAAACTCCCAACTGTTATGGGAGTACAGACATTCAGCTGATGACTTCACTTCAGGAATTACCCGAAGAAAATCCTATGCCAGGCTTGAGTTTGGTGCAGTGTGCTACTGGAAACATCAGCTCTGATGGGATGTCCAAGATCCAGCAAAGGATTAGAATTTTCCCCCGTGAATCTCAGTATCAAAACCTGCATTGCTCTCAACCAGGGCAATGTGAAGGCTGGTTTGGCTGTTCACTGGCACACCAGCAGGTGACTGCTGCACACCTACATTTTTCCATGCACTTCCAATCAGAACAACTGAACTACAAGAGGGAAATGGCTTCAGCATCATCCTTCTAGCAGCCCATAAACTATTGAGTCAAACAGGAGAAGAGTTAAGAAGGAAAAGTGTTCTGAGGAAGGAGAGGGAGGGGACTGAGCAATTCTCTGAAGATGTACTTTTACTGAAGTACCCAGTTATTGATACAGCCTTGGAGCACACAGCAGCAAAATTCACAGGTGCTGTCTATGAACTGAAGTGACCCTCTGAAGGGATTTCTCTATGGTATCCAGAGTAGAGGATAAATTGAAACAGATGCAAAAAAATCCTTTTTTGCTCCACCTACACTGTGTAATTATGATATTACTGGAACAAGTTTTTATTTAAATATATTTGAAAAGTTTCTGTTACACTTCTAAAAATTGGATTTTACATAACAGATTTTCCTTTGTGGTATTACATTCCTTCTCCTTTTTCTTTACTCGTTTCTTTTTTCCTTTGTCTATGCTATTTTGTCTCTATTTTTACTCTGCCTCTTCTTTCTGTGCTTCATTGCTATTATATTGTGAATATGACAGTTTATTTTAATTAAAGCCCCAGCATCTGGAATTGAGCGATCACAGGATGATCTCAGCTTCCACCTACTATAAGCAAAACTGATTCCTACGGTTTTGTACCTTGTCTAATCCTACCCTTCAATAATCCCAGATGCTTCTTTAAACCTGAAAACATGACTGGGGAGGAGGCAGTGGGATTGAGACTAGTTTTAATATGCAGGTACTAACTGGTGAGCTAGCTAGTCTCCAGACAAGTTCATCGTGCTTGAGTTCTGCTTGCTCCCTTCTCAGGAAAAAAAAAAAAACAACAACTTTGGGACTTTATTATTTTTTTTTTCATGTGTATAACTTCTTAGTTCTTGTGGTTAGAGAGCCAGCTTGAAGAAAAGGCAATTCATAAGAACCACAGCCACAATTCTACAATATCACTGTGTGAAGAACAATTTCTGAATACCCAGGATTCATTCCTCAGCTGCTGGATGGACACACTTCTGTGCCTGTGGACACAGAGACCCTCTGCACTCATTCTTCCACCAGCAACAGAAAAATTCTTTGCCTCTCATTGTCACACAGGCAGAAAAGTGCCCTGCCCTCACTCAGGTGCTGCTGGTCGAGCTCAGCCTCCAGCCAGCAAGGGAGAGCTCCCAGTGCAGGGAGGGCAGAGAACTCTGCTGTGGCTCTGCTGGTGAGATGGGCAGGGCAGCCCTGCCACCCCTGCCAGGGCACAGCAGGGCCACCCTGCACCTCCAGCAGCACAACCACGGGGCAATTCAGGGGTAAGCAGGGGCACGAGCTCTGCCAGTCACCACTAATATCCCTTCCCAACCCTCAGTCAGGGAGCTCATACATTTGTACATAGCACAAATACATTTGTACAGAGCTCATCCACTTGTCCATCCAGAGATCAAAGCACAGGGACAAGCCCCAGGTGAAGAGCAGGTCTACCTTGGAATACAGGATATAAGTGTACTCATCTGCTTAGCAAGTCCCTTTGGATATTCTAGGAAGAATGGTGATAAATATATTCATCCACAAGATAAAGTATTGATTACTTGTTGCTACCGTGAAGGTTAGTTTCCCTTTATGAGGGAATAATAAAGTCAGGAGTACACTTTGATTGTCAGAAAAACAAACAAAAGCCTGCATGAAGCTAAGATTTCCTCATCCTATGGAAAGCACAGTGTAAGACAAGTTTTACTTGTTCCACTGCATAGATTTTCAACGATGAATTAATTACATCTCACAGAAATGATAGGAGAATTCACAAGAGAAATCAAGTAGTCCTTAGTTTTTTTACTTTCCCCAGCGATTATAGCACATTGCAGTGCTGTAGTAATTCTCATAGTGAGCTTGGAGCATTTTCCAGGCCAGAACAGCCCTCAGCCCTGTCTCAGTCTAAGCAGAAAAAGCAGAGGTTTGTTTGGGACTGAAAATTACTGTGAAAGGGAAGGAGACACACCATCTATAACGCTGCTGATGCCTTTGAGAACGCAGCAGGATCACTCTGGAGGAGAAAAGACAAGGCAGAAAGAACCGTGTCTTGCAGAATTTCCCACCTAAGGAGTCTTTCTGCTGTGCCTTTTCCAACCCGACGTGTCTGTCTCGTATTGGCCTTTTTAGCCACCAACGCGCTTGTAACAAACGTGGGTAGAGCCCTCCCCAAATCTTCGTTCACGAAGCCCAGCCATGATGACAAAAAAATCGGATTAATAATAAATTAACACCTAGCTGAAGTTTATTTATATGTAATATTAAAGCAAATAAAGGTTTTTCTTTATTAAAAATACAGTCTTGTTATTCAGTCCTTTGTCAAAAAGAAAAAGGGCTAATTTATGGAATAAATTATTTTGTACAAGGTCTACAATAATACTGACATTCCTTTCGTGCACAACTACTAATATTTTATTTATATTCTTGTACTGCCTTCAAACCTCAGCCAAGAATCAGGTTCCCATTATGCCCTCTCAGCAAACAAAGAGACAATCCCTGCTAGGAATATGTATCAGGTAATTAATATTTTTAGGGACTTTCTCCCTGATTTTCAGGGTGCCTTTGTAGAAGTAGAGTCTTCCAAAGACACCAACCTGGATTTTCTCTAAAGCCACCTAACTCTTTCTGAAATTCAATTGTCTTCACAGCTAGAAATTCATCATTTACTCTTTTTCAAACTTACATCCAAGGACACTTCTCCTTTCCTGGTACTTTAACCATGCACAGCCCATGAAGTCAACATACAGGAAGCATTGCATTACCAGCCAGCTGCAGAGCATCCAATGAAAGAATTATATGAAGAAAGAGTAACATACCTGATCCCTCACCTTCTACTCTGTCATCCCTGCCAAAGTGGGACCTTTATCAAATTTCATCAGCAGAGAGTAGTGCAGGATATAAAGTAAAAATAAGCATGAGCTAAACTAGTAAGGATCAAAAGATAAATCTTCCATCATTTTTTTAGGGTCATACTTGGATGGAGATTCATTACATGAAGGAACCTCAGTCCAGGGAAGGAATCTCAACCCAGGGAAATCTTTCTGCTTTGCAAAATGCTTTTAATACTCATCTCTCCCACAGCACTGTACAGGATCATTTTTCAGCTTATAAATTTGACAGGAGAGAACAGAGGGTAATTTCACAGTTCTTTCACTTGCCATAAACTTTTTGGGGTGTTTATAGATCTTGTAGCAGAAACCACAATTCTCCCATTGGAATGTGACCTGCCACTTCTTAAAGCAGAAGGGAGTATGGCAATGAAAATGTCCCAGTTTTCCTTTCTTTCCAGCAGTGGTTTTTCACAGGTTTCCTCATAATTGCACATAAATTACGTACTCCCCTCAAAGCAAAGCTGTCCAAAAGACCACATTAACAGCTCGTGCATCTTCTTCTCTTTCCCCTGCTGTACTCTTCTTTGGACCAACATTCACTTCCTAATGTGATGACTACACAATGCATCTTCCTTGGATTTTCACAAAATCACAGGATCAGCGAGGTTGGAAGAGACCTCTGAGATCATCAAGTGCAACCTATGAACTAACACCACCTTGTCAACTAGACCGTGGCACTGAGTGCCACATCCAGGCTTTCCTCAAACACCTCCTCACTGGTTTATTTTAGGTGAAGCACCAGGCAGAGAGAACTCCACTCCTTCTCTCCTAGCTTAAATTTGGATGTCCCTCCCCAGTCTGTCACCAAGGAAGGCTAAGCAAGCTGTGCCAGCTCCAGCTTAGCATTTCCCCAGATTTCCTCCTCCAGTGCAGATGTACCTCTGCTGCCCTGTGACACTGCTGCAGCTCCACTGAGCTGGCACCTCCTTAGTGCATCACCCACTGCATCCTAACCAACACCACAAAAGGAGGGGGCCTGTCCAACCTCAGCCTCCTGAACCACATCACTGCAATAATGAGGCATTTCTCAGGCAGTGAAAGCTGAGGAACTCACCTCATTTACGTGCAGTCAGGAACAGCAGTTACCCTTCCTCACACACTACTTACAGATTCCATCTGTGAGCTTGGACTTCAATAGTACTTTGGAAACAGGAGTGTAGCCTGGAAATAACATAGGAGAGATTTAATGCAGAAAAATCAATGCCAGTTACCACACAACTGTGCTTCCAGGAGCAGAACCCTCCATCTCCCCCATCCCTTAGGTACTGCAGCTGCTGGAGACGGAGCAACGCTCTATCACAGCGTAGCCAGCCAATGCCAACAGGAACTAGAGCTGCAAAGGCAGCTCACAACAGAGAGTCATTTGATGAGTTCCACACATTTTGCAAATGTCACTGCTCTCTTAAATTTATATTTTTTCATTATTTCACAGAATACATGCTTTCTTGCCAGCTAACTAATGTTGGAATTGTTACTTAATTAATTGTGGTTTGTCACAGAGATCATCTAAGAAATCGTTTGTTTTAATTTTGCTTTGTAATTTATAAACAACTTTCACAGAATGCAAGTTTTAAATAAGTTTATTGGGACAACAGCAGCTTTCAAGATGAAAATGAACATTTTGTGAACATCTGCACACACGTATTTTGAGTAATTGGGGGAAAAGCACAGAGAACTGAATGATATGACTAAAAACAACACACTACAATGCTGTGGAACGTTTTGGGGAATTCCAACCATACTTTGATGGACAAAAATTAAACTGTCAAGGGAAGGAAGTACCTGCAAAATGGTATTTCTCAATTGTTTACTATCTCCAAGGTCTTCTACAGTTTTTGAAGTCCTGCCAGGGAATCCTAGAGCTCACCAGGAAGCTGGAGGCAGCTGCAGAGAAGCCCCTTGTCTCCAGACCAGCTCTTGGTCACCATCATTTGCTGTTTGACAACACGTTCCCAAGCCATTCACACAACACATTTTGTAACTGAATTGAACACTGCTGTTCAAACTGCTCAAACCAGAGAAGTAATTCCAGGCAGGCCCTGGAAAAGCTTTAAAGCCTCCTGTTGCACTGGCAGAGGAGGGGCACGTCTGTCCTCTCTGCCTTCCCCACACCTGCACTTCAGTCTGAGGCGTGGGGAGGTGAGCACACTGCCCAGAGAAGTGTTCACTTCTTGCACATGGAAAACAAGGAGAGAAAGAGAATACAATATGTAAGATTTCCACCAATCTCAAAGGAAAAGCCAAATACACGGCAGCCAACTGTGACAGAACACAAACACCTCAGAAATGTAAAGTCTTGCAATCACAATCCCCATTATTAAGTATTTGACTTGTTCCAAGATTTAAATAAAAATATCAATACTGCATGTTTTCTATTCTGTTTATATTTGGCAATACTCAGCAGCATTCTGAGATTTCGAAAAACTACAGTTTTCAGATAATTTTAATTTTGAATAAAAACATCCTACATCACTCAGCAGATATTTCCTGCACTGTCAATGAAGTTTTTCAGAAAAGACAAATACCATTTATAAAAAACAGACTCAAGTATACATGTGCTTCTCAACTCCTCAAATCCTAGAGCATTCTGCAATTTATTTCCCCACTTTCATCTACTGAGTTTCAGAGCAGGCATGGTGTGATCGTATGTTTTTTCAAGAATAGCTGATGAATACCTGAAAACTCTCCCACTGTGGGACATTCTCTTTTCTCAGAAATGAAATAAGCAGCCAGAATGACACATTTTCTATTTCTAAAAATAAACTGAAAGGCTGGAGAAATCAATGAAAAAAAAATCACTGCTAAGACAGCACAAAACACAGAATACCAATCACATTTTGGCAATGTGACTAATGAGACAGTCAGCTAATTACCTGATTCTGATAAACTTTTTAGCAAATAATAATCTTATGGGTAATGCTTACTTCCTTTCCAGCACTGACATTTTTCCTAATGAAAAAGCAGAGCAGACAACATCTGATAAAGGCCTCCCTGCCTAAGTGAACTTTTGGTTCTGTGAACCTTCTGGGGACTCAACTAAAGGATTATTGCTGCATAGGGGAACTGAGAGAATGGGGCTGTCTGGGAACAGGTTGATCTTTTCTCTGCACTGCCTTACAGGAGAAGATAATTTAATTTATGTAGCCTTCTCTGCAAGGGTTTCACACATTTCCCTGCTCTACTATCTGGAACTCTCCTGGAAGGCAGCAAAAGGATCTCTCTGTAAGTCCCACTTTTTTTTCACTTTTTTTTTTCACCTACACACCCAAGGCCTCCCTCCTAATTTGATAATCAGCAAATACTAATGAAGAGGAGGTTAATTCAACCAAGGTGTGCTGTTTCAGAGAGATGAAAATAAGTAAGTAAGTTGGGTTTTCTGCACGTCCAGGTGCCCTACTCTGACCATGAGCTCAGGTGTGTAGGAACAGTTCCACCAGCTGGAAGGCTTTTCCCACACCCACACAGATCTGCTGCCATCATTTCTCCAGGTGTTGGGGGACAAGCATTACTGAGATCCTAAAAAATGCCTGTTAGCATGTCCGCTCCAAATGATTCCAGTTCATTCTTCTGAAGAATTCCTCTCTCCTCACTGATCCACAGGGAACTCCCTGGCCTGGGAATGCTGTGAATTGGGGAAGTGGGGGGGCCAAGCCAAAAGTGAATTGAAATCTAAGGGCAAGTAGGAGCCCTGCAAACCTCAGTTGCCAGAGGTCTCTAAATGCTGATAACATCCAATCCAACTCAAGCTGCAGAAATGACAGGTCCCGTTGCTCTGCCTCTGTCTGCATCCCTGTGCTGTGTTCTGGAAGCTCCCTCTGCACATCTGTACCCTCTGCAGCACTCCGGGATCCCGGGCCAAGGGAACACCCAGTGTTCTGCTAATGCACACATAACACGGCTTCTGCCATGGCTAAAGGATGCTCCATTTCCCTTTTACTGCTCTCTGTCTTAAAAACTGAGATGTCACTGAGCTGGCAGTAATGATTAACAGTAGGTATTGCACATCCATATACGTTTTTTATTGTGACAGAGATTCCAAACAACAAACTTCTGCAGAAATCTTGGCCTGCACAGTAAACAAACAGCTGTTTATCACTGGTCTAATTACCAAGCTAATGAGATACTAATTTCTATATTCATAAAGTATGCATGAGCAAGCATAAGCGTATACAAAGCAGAGCATAGTGACAAATATAATAAATAAAATAAGAAGGTATGGGTAAATAAACATTAATGATCTTTAAACCTAAGAATCTCGTGATGTTTTATGGAAACCTTGCAGGAGCAAGACATGAATGAGTCTAGTAAGTCTAGATATTTCCATATTAACAGCATCCAACAAGTACAAAGTGCTTCATTTAGAGAGGAAAAGCAGCAAATGTACAAACATAAAACGGGGAATGACTGCGCTGGCAGCAGCACTGAAAAAAGGGTTGGAAGTAAAAACACAGCAATAAAATAAGTCAAATTAATAATATGCAGGTGCTGCAAGAAAAGGAACATTTTCTGGGAGGTCACCTATAAGCACAAGCAGTAATTCTGTTTTCCTCTGATGGTGTCATGGCTGAAGTGCTTCATTAGGAAGGAGCTGGAGGAATTAGTGAGAATCCAAAGTAGCACAACAAAAATGCTGAGAGCTTTGGAAATTGTTAAGCTTAGCAGAAAGGTGGAAAAAAAAGTTGAATTCTTCCATTTAGAGCAAAAATCAGAAGAGTAGACTGTAAATTCTTCAATTACATAAAATACTGCACCGAGCAGTATAAAGACTGATTTCCTCCATCCTTCCCTGAGGGATTATGAATATTCACTGGCAGCAGTGGGAACTTAATATATCAGGAAACCTTTCTATGGTCAAGCCCTGGACAATTAAGTACTAGAGCAGCTCATGTATGAAAGCTCTGAAGCCCTTGAAGCTGGCAGGTTTGTAAGAAGCAGTATGACAACAATCTCCCAGGAGATTCTTCCTTTAGAGCAGGAGGATGAGGTTGAATAAATGACACCTGCATTTGCTTTCCAGTCCTTCACTTCTGTCCTCAGCCATTCCTTGCTGATTCTGTAGGTATGAAAAGTGAAGGGGAGCAGCTCCTGAACATCTGTCTTCTAAAAAAAGCAGAATATACCAGCTTTCCCAACCACACATCCTTGTGTCCCACCTCTGGGGAAGGTGGGACAACAGTCCTTAGGAACAGTCTCTGAGACAGAACCTCCTACTTGCCCATGTACGTGCTGGCATGAGCCATGGCACTGAGAGAGCTGAGACACCGATTCAGGAGTTTTCTCCGCTCACTGGTGCAGGTGTATCACCAGGATACACCCATCAGTGATCAATGGAGTTCCACACTTGTATTGGAGAGCATGAAAAATGAACAAGGTGAAAACAAAGGCTGTGAGAGCTCAGGATTATGTCAACTCTGAGAATGTTCAGCCTGACAAAAACATGGAAAACAACAGGTTTCAAAAATAGTTGTTCTTTCCCCTTTCTACCCTTCTCCCCCGAAATTTGTTCTGAAAGTAATATATGACAAACTGACACTGTGCACAACATTACAAATCCTGGCCTGTCAGTGCAAGCCTGACAACAGCTGCCTACCGTATGCTTAAAACCAGTCTGGAATTCTAGAACAGTTCTAAGCTGAGGCTGGTTTCATCTTTGTCCTTGTCTTTCTTAAGGAGGGATTGGTAGCCATGGGTTCTGACTGTGTGGAGATGATGAATGCCCACCCAAGTTATTTAACTAAAGATGAGAAAATTATTTAAATGAAAATGAGATTTCAGTTAGGTTGAATACAATGGTTTTGACCCGATTTTCTCTGGGAAATCCAGAGCTGTGCATCATTCTTCTCATCCATTATCCAGGCTTAGCCTCCTTCTCTACAACAAAGCAAATTCAATTCCCTCCTCTACTCCCAGGGGGTGGGAAAGAGAGAATAAGTCTACACCTCTCATATGGTGCTGAGGTGTTCATGAAATATCAGTAGAGAAGTTCATCACCTCAAGAATCTGTTTCTGTTTTGTTTGGGGTTTTTACCATTGTTTGGTTCAGCTGCTAAACTGACAAAACACACTGTGCACCCCAAGCTGTAAAATGCTCCCAGATCTGAAACCTGCAGGTCCTGGATCAGCCTCCTACTTACAAGTAGCTGGATTTTTTAAGGAGTTAA